CAGACATCAGAGTTGGCCAAAAGGCTGCCAGGAGTGCGGGGGTGAACAAGGTGACTCCACACCTTTTATTCACTTCCAAAGGGGAGTGGTGACATAGTCTAATTAACAGGGGGGCGTATACAGGTGAGATCAGGTAGGGGTGTGAGATCATACAGTGGGCATGGGGAGGGGTGTGTGGTTTTCCAGCTCATGAATCCAATTAATTTAATCCTATCTGCCTGCCTATATTAGAATGATTTTAATAGTTTAATATTCTAACTAGTTCCTTGAGCTAAACCTTTCAGATTTCAATAGAACATTTATTTCCATAGAAAATACCTGGCCATATCTAAACTATTCTTGTATCTCCATTCTCAGTATCTAATTCTTTCCTTTTTTCTTTCTTTTTTTTAAAGTTTCTGTAGAGTCTTTTCTAATTCATTTGATACAAATATACAAATATTCAGTTTAATAAATTTTTGTTACTTTAGTATCAGTGACGAAACCAGCATTCAAGATGTGCTATGAATATGCTTTCAAAAACATTTGTTCCTATAAAACACTAAAAATGTGAATCCAGTATCATAGGAATTCTCATGGAGGGGAGTAATATAGATTCCTCTAACTGCAGAATAGACCTAATTCAACTTAGAAACTGATGTCATTGCAAGAATCAAATCCATCTTGAGTAGAGTTGCCAGATTTAGCAAACGGAAAGAGAGGACCCTCAGTTAAATTTAAATTTGAGACAAACAATACGTTTTTAGTATAAATATGTTGGTAACCGAATTTAAATGTGGCTAGGTTTCCTGTATTTTGTTTCTAATCTTGAAGTGTAGCTTAGTCCCTGTTCATTTTGAAGGCCAACATTGGGTTCATGAATGGAGAAGTTAGTGGGCACACTGCCACTTTGTGGCAGCCACAGGCAACAACATTACTGCTCTGGAGAGGAAGTGGTGCTAGGTCAGTGATCAGATGTTCATTTTCATTGTACGTAACATACCAGATACCAACATGTGTGGACATAAGCTTCAAAGAAATAAGTATGGAAATTGCCATGCTTATATCCAATAACATTGGTTTTAGTTGGCATGAGAGCGAGATTTATCTCCTTTCTGAAGAACCGATATCCCAACCTTACCAGATAATGCATTAGAGTAGTGGGAGGATGATTATACCCTTGAAGATTGCCACAAAAATTAGGTGGACCATTCTCATGTGGCAGTATTTATAAAGGACTGCTTATAAGAACAAGATGTTTTGAACTGCCAACATAATTTTGCTTTTACCTAGTAGTATCAAAACAATGTTTGCTTTTAGAACACCTTTAAAGTAGTCACTTTATCAGTAAAGACAGGAAAGGGTAAACTAATTTCCTGAAAATTACACATTGATCAGCTCAAAAAACAGACCTGGCATGAAAAGTAAAAGTTCCCTAACATCCAACTCTTGAAGGCTGTCCTTAACCAAGAATCACTATTGATTTCTGAAATGAGCCCTGATTAAGCACCTTAAAATATTATTTCAGAAACAGTAGCCTTACATAGGGAAGTGGTAATCTTGTGATAATTTAAGGTATCCTTATGGATACTAGAAAGTCCCAATTTAAAGGTTCTCAGAAAGCTTCAGAATCTACAAAACAAATAGAAATTTCAAACATTCAGTTGCCTTTGTCCTGTTTTTTTCTTACTAAGTTGTTTAGTTTATATGGTTGTATGTTATTTGGAAGACTGACTATTCTTGACTACTCTTGAAAGATGGTGGTTTCTTTTATCCTTGTAAGGAAATATTTGAAAGTTAATTTACAAAAGCTACCTACCAAACACTTATTTACTAATATTATAAAAGTATTTTCATTATACTTTAATTTTGTGTGGCTATACTTCAGTACCCAAATCTTAGCAATAAAGAATGATAAAAAGTGGACATTTAAATACACTCCAGATTATTACTCCTAAAAATATTGTATTTTCTCTATTGAAGCTTCTTTTACCCTGAAAAATCAGAAGGTAGTAGGCCCTGAGCTATGAAACTTAAGAAAATAATCAGGATACTCTTAACAGGATATCACAGTCTTACTAATTGTCAAGCACAGGCAAACCCTGGTTGATTTTCCATAAACCTCAATTGGCTATAATACTTTATTAAGAGCATTTCAGTTGGATCTGGATTAACATTCCTAATAACTAGAATTTTTAGTAATTTGTCTACAGACAGTTGATAATGTGAAGAACATGTGTATGTCACATTAGTTAGTATAGTAATCTGCTAAACACAACTTGGAACTTTCTCATAGAAGCAAAATAGAAAGGCCACCCTGACCTTAATGACTTACTGGCATAGCTGTTGACCTTACATAACACTTTAACAATAAACTGCATGTACCAGAAAATAAGTGGTTAGTGCAGAGAAGAGTGATAATATGAGACTGAGTAGGGACTGTGAACAGACTGTAATACATCAACACAACTTCTTTTGGTGTATCTGTTTGATTTGTAGTATACAAAAAGATGATTACCATGAATTCAGACAAAATCAGTACTTTTCAGAATGCTGTACTAAACTACAGGTTTGTGTCACAAAATAAGTTGTTGGTGGTATTGGAAAGTGAATGTTTCTATTTTAGGAGTAGCTGATTATAATCTCAGGACTTCTTTTGCTACCTTTTCCCATAGAAACATGCCAACTTCTTGGGCTAAGACTTTGCGATTTTCAAAGTAGGTACATGTGTGTTTTCCTATTTGTTTTACACATTGCTATTTCGTTTTCATCATCCATATGCAATGTTCCCTCCTCCTTTTTTGTGTATTTGAATATCAGCCAGTTCCAATCTAACCACTTCCTTTCTATTCCTAATTCAAATGATGTCATAAAAAATTTGTTCATGAAGAGTTTCTGCAGGAACTCACACACCAAGCCACAGGAATCGTCCTTTGACAATGACTAAAACTTGAAGAATATGAACAATGTGGATAATTAGCAGACACCCAAGTCCATTTTAAACTTAGACTTCATTTTGTAAAGATGCAAGCAATATTACACATTTTCAAATGAAGTTATTTAAATTCAGTTCTAGGTAGAGTGAAATCCAATGGAAGAAATAAAAGGGAAAAATATTCATTTTCAACTGTGTGTATATTTTTCCAGACTTAAAATAAACAAAATACAAGTTCTGAAACTCCCAACAGTTAGAGTGTTATTTTGACGATGGGTTCAATTTTGATAGCATGAGAATGATTTCCTGGGGAAAAGCTAGCACTTGAAAACACCAGCATCATCTGAAAACCTGCCTTGCCTTGATCAACTATCATGAATTACCAATCACTAATAGGAACAGGCTGTGGAAAGTTAATTTCAGAACTGAAATGATTAAAAAACCATGGTGAAGACATTCATAGTTTCATGCCCTGAAATTCTGGCAATGTTCCTGGATCTATTCAGGACCTCAGAATTATTAATAATGTTTAAAAAGTGGTTCTGGAACAAAAAAAATTGAAATTCTACCCATAAATACAAAACAGACCTTTCTGCTTTTTATAATGTTTCATCTGATTCCAATTTTGTCATTTAAAATCTATTTTCAGCATTATGGTCTTTCTCACCTGTTCTTGTGCTTTAAGCCAACGTTTTCTTAACTCCAATTATTGGCACTAAGGCCATTTTTAATGTTCTAAGGGTCTCCGATTTCAAATGCAGATATGTGAAAGGTGAGAAACTGACATATGGGAAAAGGCACTGCAGGAAAAAATTTCCACTGCTTTATGAAGCAACTCAAAGGCTTCCCAGGCCTTCCCATCCTTTCAGAGGGCTTGCTGCCTTCTCCCTGGGGTCCCCATCACCACCCGCAGATGCTGAGCCCATACTTCTCTATGAGTCCCCAGAGCAGGATGTTCTTGTTCTTATTTGACACTGTAGAAAGTAGAACACTGATCATGAAACAGAACTACCCATTAATGTGTATTAAGCAAGTTTCAAATTTTGTTGAAATGATGAATGAAGGAAAAGATTATCATAGTACTGAGGATCTCTCTGTGTACTTACTGAAAGTGGTGAGCTAATTGATTTTCAGCTAAATACTGAGTGGTCAAGATTGAATACATTAGATTAAAAACCAATCAGAATTTATGAATCTGGAAAATGTACTTTTTAAGTTATGCAGGTATACTTCTATTATTCTTTTATTCTTTTTTTGACAGGCAGAGTGGACAGTGAGAGAGAGAGACAGAGAGAAAGGTCGTCCTTTTGACAGTGGTTCGCCCCCTCAATGGTCGCTGCAGCTGGTGTGGTGCAGCTGATCTGAAGCCAGGAGCCAGGTGCTTCTCCTGGTCTCCCATGCGGGTGCAGGGCCCAAGCACTTGGGCCATCCTCCACTGCACTCCCTGGCCACAGCAGAGAGCTGGACTCGAAGAGGGGCAACCGGGACAGAATCTGGTGCCCCAAGCGGGTCTAGAACCCGGTGTGCCGGCGCTGCAGGCGGAGGATTAGCCTAGTGAGCCGTGGCGCTGGCCTACTTCTGTTATTCTTACACAAAGAAATTTGCTTTGCAATCTTTTGGATTTTAATGGTTTTTTTTTTCTATTACTTTGGGAACTTTGTGATTATTAGTCAATATTCTTATTTGCAAATGACAGAAACAAACAAGTTAAAAGGAGGAATCTAGGGGCAGGTATTGTGTCACAGGGAGTTAAATTGTCACTTCAGATGCCCTCTATTTCATCTAGTTAGGGTTAAGTCACATCTTTGCTTCTGATACAGCTTCCTGCTAATGTGCACCCTGAGAGGCATAAGATAATGGTTCAAGTCCTTGGGTCCCTGTCACTCACATGGGAGACCTGAGTGAAGTTCCTAGCTTCTGGTTTCAGCCTGATGCAACACTGGCTATTTCTTGGCATCTGGGGAGTAAACCAGGAGACAAAATCAATCTCTCTCTTTCTCTCTCTGTTTTTCAAATAAATGAATAAACTTTTTTTATTTAGTAAATATAAATTTCCAAAGTACAGTTTATGGATTACAATGGCTCCCCCCACCATAACGTCCCTCCCACTAGCACCCCTCCCATCTCCCGCTCCCTCTCCCCTTCCATTCACATCAAGATTCATTTTCAATTATCTTTATTTACAGAAGATCGATTTAGTATATATTAAGTAAAGATTTCATCAGTTTGCACCCACACAGAAACACAAAGTGTAAAATACTGTTTCAGTACTAGTTATAGCATTACTTCACATTGGACAACACATTAAGGACAGATCCCACATGAGAAGTAGGTACACAGTGACTCCTGTTGTTGAGTTAACAATTTGACACTCTTGTTTATGGCATCAGTAATCTCCCTAGGCTCTAGTCATGAGTTGCCAAGGCTATGGAAGCCTTTTGAGTTCACTGACTTCGATCTTATTCTGACAGGGTCATAGTCAAAGTGGAAGTTCTCTCCTCCCTTCAGAGAAAGGTACCTCCTTCTTTGATGTCCCCGTTCTTTCCACTGGGATCTCACTTGCCAAGATCTTTCATTTAGGTCTTCTTCTTCTTCTTCTTCTTTTTTTTTTTCCAGATTGTCTTGGCTTTCCATGCCTAAAATACTCTCATTGGCTTTTCAGCCATATCCGACTGCCATAAGGGCTGATTCTGAGGCCAGAGTGCTGTTTAGGACATCTGCCATTCTATTAGTCTGCTGTGTATCCTGCTTTCCATGATGGATCGTTCTCTCCCTTTTTGATTCTATCAGTTAGTATTAGCAGACACTAGTCTTATTTGTGTGATCCCTTTGACTTTTAGACCTATCAGTGTAATCAATTGTGAACTGAAATTGGTCACTTGGACTAGTGAGATGGCATTGGTATATGCCACCTTGATGGGATTGTATTGGAATCCCCTGGCACGTATCTAACTCCACCATTTGGGGTAAGTCTGATTGAGCATGTCCCAAATTGCACATCTCTTCCCTCTCTTATTCCCACTCTTATATTTAACAGGGATTACTTTTCAGTTAAAATTTCAACACCTAAGAATAATTGTGTGTTATTTACAGAGTTCAACCAATAGTACTGGAACAAAAAAATACTAAAATGGATAAAGTATTACATTGTACATCAACAGTCAGGACAAGAGCTGATCAAGTCATGTTTCTCATAGTGTCCATTTCACTTCAACAGGTTTCCCCTTTGGTGCTCAGTTAGTTGTCGCTGATCAGGGAGAACATATGATATTTGTCCCTTCGGGACTGGGTTAATTCACTCAGCATAGTGTTTTCCAGATTCCTTCATCTTGTTGCAAATGACTGGGTTTCGTTGTTTTTGACTGCTGTATAGCATTCTATAGAGTACATGTCCCATAATTTATCCAGTCTACTGTTGATGGGCATTTGGGTTGGTTCCAGGTCTTAGCTCTTGTGAATTGAGCTGCAATAAACATTAAGGTGCAGACAGCTTGTTTGTTTGCCAATTTAATTTCCTTTGGGTAAATTCCAAGTAGTGGTATGGCTGGGTTGAATGGTAGGGTTATATTCAGGTTTCTGAGGAATCTCCAGACTGACTTCCATAGTGGCTTAACCAGTTTGTATTCCCACCAACAGTGGGTTAGTGTCCCTTTTTCCGCACATCCTCTCCAGCATCTGTTGTTGGTAGATTTCTGTATGTGAGCCATTCTAACTGGGGTGAGGTGAAACCTCATTGTGGTTTTGATTTACATTTCCTTGATTGCTAGTGATCTTGAACATTTTTTCATGTGTCTGTTGGCCATTTGGATTTCCTCTTTTGAAAAATGTCTATTGAGGTCCTTGGCCCATCTCTTAAGTGTGTTGTTTTGATGTTGTGGAGTTTCTTGATTTCTTTGTAGATTCTGGTTATCAGCCCTTTATCTGTTGCATAGTTTGCAAATATTTTTTCCCATTCTGTTGGTTGCCTCTTCACTTTCCTGACTGTTTCTTTTGCAGTACAGAAACTTCTCAGTTTGATGCAATCCCAAATGTTAATTTTGGCTTTGACTGCCTGTGCTTCTGGGGTCTTTTCCAAGAAGTCTTTGCCAGTACCTGTATCTTGCAGGGTTTTTTCAATGCTCTCTAATAATTTGATGGTGTCGGGTTGTAGATTTAAGTCTTTAATCCATGTTGAGTGGATTTTTGTGTAAGGTGAAAGGTAGGGGTCTTGCTTCATGATTCTGCACATGGAAATCCAGTTTTCCCAGCACCATTTATTGAATAGACTGTCCTTGCTCCAGGGATTGGTTTTGGATCCTTGATCAAATATAAGTTGGCTGTAGATGTTTGGATTGATTTCTGGTATTTCTATTCTGTTCCATTGGTCTATCCATCTGTTTCTGTACCAGTACCATGCTGTTTTGATAACAACTGCCCTATAGTATGTCCTGAAATCTGGTATTGTGATGCTTCCGGCTTTGTTTTTGTTGTACAAGATTGCTTTAGCTATTCGAGGTCTCCTGTGTCTCCATATGAATTTCAGCATCATTTTTTTCCAGATCTGAGAAGAATGTCTTCCGTATTTTGATGGGTATTAGAATACCAACTTCACCATAACTATCATATTGTGAAATCTTTTACTAAATCTTTCTACTTAACAGATTTCCTTAGCATTCCTTTAATGAGAGTGATACTAACAGAATATATTTACACTCATTTTGAATTCTTTGCACACAAGTTTTGACTGGCATGTGGATAAGCACATAATGGTGCTCATTGTCCATGGAAAAAGTGGTTGTTTCAAGAGAAATAAGTTCCTATACAGTTCTTGGATGACATATAGGGATCCACTGGACATACAACTTGTTTGATTTACCAAAATCCAGGTATTGAAGTGATCAAGGCCTTGCAATTCCTCATTGACTTTTTCCTGTTTTCAATATTAAGAAGAGTAAGTATTTATCAGGAATAAACTAAGTAATTATCTAGAATGTCTAGGCTCATCAATTTTAAGAAGGTAATGTCAGAAATTAAATAAAGTTCTATAAAAATGGAAATCAAAGGCTTTTCTAAATGTCTAAAACAGACAATGATTCTCAGGCAGTTAGTTTTCCCAGCTACTCTGAATCTACAGGTAAGATGTATTTCTGTGGAAAAGACTTATAATTCATTACTTCATTTAGTAAATATTTCTTGTGCAATTATTAATTCTGAAGAACACATTATTCAACCCCTAAGGGCAATCCAATCTGTGTTCCCTAATTGTCTTCTAATATCTCAAAGCCAGGACCACTCACAATAATATTGATAGGTTAACAATGAGTTTTTCATTTGCAAGTGTGAAAAATGACCAGATATCATTGCTAGGCCACATTTAACCAATTTGGATAACTAGGATGGTTTTAATTTAGTTCACTTTCATGTTATTCTTTGTATAATGATTGATTTTATACAAAGCAATTTCATATTCATTATTTCATCATGATCTCATGACAAACATATGAAGTAAACAGGGAAAGTGTTTATAGGGCCTCCTTTTGTCAATGAGCTCAGAGAGGTTAAAGGAACTTGCAAGGTCAAGAAGTGAGTAAATGGAAGAGCTGACCTGAACACAGGAAGTCTAAACCCAAGGTGACTCTCCCTGAAAACCTGCTGAGTCATATCAGTCAGAGAAAAGAGCAGACCTGCCCATCCAGTTTCATGTCAGATTGTTTGCTTCTGGTTCATAAACTCCAAAGGACCCAGGTAAACCAGGAGAACAGTGAACATGATCAGTTGCTCATTATAGCTATTCTAATTGCAGCTCTGTTTAAAGGGAAACCTTTTATGAATTCTAATGAGGCTCTTGAAGACTACTATCTTTGAACATTTATTTTCTTGCTTGTTTGAATTTAAATACCTGCAGATACTCCTGGCAAAATAGGCTGTTTTCTCTGGAATTCTTAACCATGTCACTGATTAACTGTAAAGATAGAATTACTTCTGAGGTTAAAATAAACTCTTGAGATTTACTGGTTCACTGCATCCACTTCCTCTAAAACTCTAGTAGTTCATGCTTGTGAAATTTCCTTAAGTTGACCTAAGTTACTTGATATGGAAAATAAACTACAGTAATCAAATTCTTTAAACATCTCACCATTTCCCTATTTGGGCAACTGGGAAATCATGTCAGTGGGCTTATTTAGAACTCTAGTATGGTGATTGGCAGAAGACCTGTGGAATTAAAGCAAAACAAAATGAAAATGCTACATCAAATTGTCAATCAAAAAAAATAAGAACACTGGCCATTCTGAAACATACCTCCACTAAATTTATTTTATTTTCAGGCTTGTATTTTACTTTTTTCCCACATTAATAGCAATACCAAATTTGAATGTGTTTCTTTTCTTAGTATCTTCCAGCGAATTCTAATGACAATCATTTCTCACCACACATGCATTTAGGGATACAGTAATATAACATTTAATAAAGCATATACAATCCCAATGCATAACACATGTTTGATGATTGTGAGCAACTAGAGCAGCAGTGTACCTATAGGTGATTAAAAAGACTCCTTAAGTTCTAAAAGAAATATTGAACATATACCCCTTACATCATGCACAAAATCTAATCTAATGCTAAATACCTCAATATGCTTTACAGAGATCTTTTCTTCAACAAATCTAACCTCAGACCTTTCTTGAAATGTATTGAAATCATTTTCAAATATTTACTATATATCAAATTTACTATATATCAAATGCCATGCCATTTATGTCCAAAAGGCTCTGATTTGATCATTTAACTTTTCTGAATGTTCTTTGAAACATATTGTATATCTGAGCCACCATAAAATACCATTCTTGCAATTTTGCCAATTTCAAAATGCTCCATTGCATAGTTTATCATTGGTGTTCTCCATTTCCTTTCTTGATTCTCTTTGAGAATCAGCCAAGCAAATACTAGCTAAATTTATTTGCATTTATTAATGTGACTTAGCTTGAACATTTCATACTGAGGGGAAATCACAGAGCCAGAAAGAATAAAATCCAATTCTTGGCTGAGACTCTGGTAGCATGGGGTAATACTAGATGAAAAATAGAGACCAAGGGAATGTAAACTCTAGTTTATTCAGTTGAACTGATTTTCTTCCTATTAAGGTACATTCTGTTAGATAGTTTTCCTCCCACTTACTAAATAGCTAAGCCTTGACATCATAAAGAAAACTGCAATTCACATCACTAAGGCTAATGTCACCCAAAGATAGGTTGCTATTTTAAATAATATGGAAACTGCATTGGGATGACAGATAAGTAAAACAATCTGCTTTATTTTTAACTGCTTTTGATGTCTTCCAGACTTTGAATATTCAGACAGAGCAATAATGGAAAAGTTTTTTTTTTTTTTTTCTCAAGTCACACCTTTGCAAATTGCTATTCTTTCACCCTCACCCATGATCATTTTGAACAAAACTGATGAATCCAAGTCTTTTCTTTTCTGGAGAATAGTCCTGGGCTCGGTTTCAGAACATCAGAGATCACTGGCATTCTTCCTGGAAGAGTATTTCCAGGTTGATTTCTAAGGAATCACCCTTCTCCTGTTGGGGATGTTGGAGATTCCTTCCTCCTGGTGCCTCACAAACTCCAGGTGGAGGCTCTGTCACTAGCCATTGGCCCTGCATCTGGGAACAACTGTTTGAGGACCCAGAATAGCACCATATTTCTGTCACAAAACTGCAACGGGAAACCAGGATTGGACCTGCAGCTCGTGCTACCCAGAGTGTTATATCACCCTTTGGAACAGACAACAATATTCTTGAACCAAGATTTTCCAAGAACACTGATGCTCAATACGGAAAGTACATATGGGTTCCCTCTTCTTCCAATGAATCTATCTACAGGGGTAAAAAGAATCAATGATCCACAATAGTCATTATCGCATGTCTGATTAAAAATCTCCCCTTGGCAGTTTTAGGGTGGTCATACAAGTAATAAGATATTTTAGTTTTTCCTCTTCTTAAAATGTCTTGACTGCCTCTTCATTCCAGGAAGATATTTTCCTTTGATGTAAAATTCTCAATTGACTTTGCTTTTCTTTTGGTAGTTGAAAAATGTTGTGCCAGTTCCTTTTGGCCTCCTTGGTTTCGAAGGAGAAATCTACAGGGATTATAGTTGTTTCTTTAAAGGAAGTGTAATATTTCTCTCTGGTTGTTTTGAAGATTTTTTTGTCTATAGGTTTCACATATTTAATTATGAAATTTCCTTAGCATGGATTTCTCTCGGTTTATTCTGTTTGGAGCTTACTAAACGTCTTGAATGTGAGAGTCTATTTATTTTGCCACGCTTGGGGAGTTTTCAGTCATAATTTCTTTAGGTATTCTTTCAATCACTCTCTTTCCCTACTGGAGCTGTGATACATGAAGGATCTTTTGTGCTTGTCTCACAGATTCTTGAGACTATGCTCATGTTTTTTCTTTTTCTGTTTTTCCTCAGTTGTTCAGAGTGGGTAAATTCCATAGATCTGTCTTCAAATCCATTGCTTCTATCCTCTATCATCTCTGTTCTGTGATTAAGTACACACAGCAAGTTTTTTTTTTTTTTTAAGAATTACATTTTTTGGTTCTAAAATTTACATTGGATCTTTTTGTTTAATTGCTATTGCTCTGCTGGGATTTTCTATTTTAAAATGTGTGTTGATGCTGACATTGTGGTTCAGATGGTTAAGCAGCCGCCTGAAGCTCTGGTATCCTATGTGGGCACCGGTTGGAGTCCTAGATGCTCCACTTCCAATCCAGTCCCTTGCTAGTGCACTTGAGAAAACATCAGAGGATGCCAGACACGAGGGAGACCACGATGGAGTTCCATGTTCCTGTCTTCAGCCTGGCCCAGCACTAACTGTTGCAGTCATTTGGGGCAATGAACCAAGAAAGGGAAGTATCTCTCCTCCCCACCCCCGCCATCTGCCCTCTGTTCTGTAACTCTGTTTTACAAGTAAATAAAGAAATCTTTAAAAATTCATATAAAGGGGGGGCGAGCACTGTGGCACAGCGGATTAATGCCCTGGCCTGAAGCGCTGGCATCCCATATGGACTCTGGTTCGAGACCTGGCTGCTCCACTTCTGATCCAGCTCTCTGTCAAGTCCTGGGAAAGCAGTATAAGATAGCCCAAGTCCTTGGGCCCCTCCACCCATGTGGGAGACCCAGAAGAAGCTCCTGGCTCCTGGCTTCGGATTGACACAGCTCCGGCCATTGTGGCCAACTGGGGAGTGAACCATCCTATGGAAGACCTCTCTCTCTCTCTCTCTCTCTCTCTCTCTCTCTGCCTCTCCTCTCTCTGTGTGTAACTCTGACTTTCAAGTAAATAAAGAAATCTTTAAAAAATTATATCAAGAAAGCAAATAATAGTTTAATCCAAATAGATTTGATGACTGCTTTAAAATTCTTGTTCCAAATTCTGATTTGGATATTGACAAGTGTTGATTGTCTTCTCATTCAAATTGGGAGTTTCCTGTGATTTTTTTTTGTAAGATTTCTTTCTTTCTTCTTTATTTATTTGAAAGACAGAGTAGTCAGTTCAGAGATGAGAGAAATAAATCTTGTTCTTTCCCCAAATGCCTGCAACAACTAGGATCAGGCCAAGAAGAAGCCAGGATCCAGGTCTGCCACACGGGTGGCAGGAATCCAAATATTTGAACCATTTCCTGCTGCCTCCTAAGGTGTGTATTAGCAGGAAGCTGGATCAAAAGTGGGGTCCAGAATTGATCCCAGCACTTCAACCTGGATGTGGGAGCCCAAAGTGATGGCTCAATCTACTGCATCACAGCACTTGGCATTCTCTTGTGATCTTTGAATTTTTTTGCTGGAAATTTTGAAAATTGTTATTATGCAACTCTAGTTTATATTTATTTTCCCTCTCTCTCTCTCTGTTTCTCTCTCTCTTTCCTGTTGTCCTATTGATGCATAGTGTAAGACTCAGGTGGATATTTATTTTCAGCCTAACCCTTTTGTTGCTGTATACTTGGCTTAGAAGTTTAGCTCTTCAGTGCAACCTGATGACACTGGTGGAGAGGATTACTAAATGTCAGCTAGTCCTGCCACTCATCACCAAGTTCTGCCCCACTAACACTGGATGGGATTGGAGCCTCAGCTCCCTAATGTGTCATGCTGACAAAAAGGGTAAGGGGAAGTGTAATACCGACTGGATTAGCGCGATGTTTAATTTCCCTATTCAATCTTGTTCAGTGGGTGGAGGTGTTGAGCTTCCTCCTTGGACTGCTGATACGAGGAGTGTTGACTAAATCTGACTTGCACAGCATTTTCTAATCTCGTTAATGTTGGGTAAGGATGAATTCAATTTCTTGCTTAGAAATTCCGACAGGATCCAGTCAGGGAAAGAGTGCACCACCATTTACTTTTACAGGGTGGAGGCTTATCATGGAAAATGAATGCCTTACACAGTACCACTGAAATTGTGGAGTGGGATGGGGGATTTTCTGTGAATGATTGGCTGCAGTAGGGCCAAAAATATTTGCTGTTGATATTTACTCTGTTTCCATACTTTGCCTAAGAGGAATGGGATCTCTTGGTTTTTCTTTTTCTGTTCTTGTTTGCAATCTAAGGTTGAAGGCTCCTGCAGTGGCTTCTCTTGGATATATAGGAGGGAATAAGGAAACCAGGTAACTCACCAGGGCAGTTTTCCATAAAGTTCTGAGATCTCTAAGTAGTCCATCTGCTTCTCAGTGTCTTCCAATGCTTAATTTTGGGGTTTTTATATTGTTTCAAAGAAAATCTGGGCAGAATGAGACAATTCCATCTTGGCTGGAATCAGAGGTCCTATTGCAGTCTCTCTCTCTCTCTCTTTCTCTCTCTCTCTCTCTCTCTCTCTCTACACACACACACACACACACACACAATTTGAATATACAGACTGCAGACACCTTATCAAAAATACATGGGAATAGAAGTGCTTCCAGATCTTGCATTTTTTAAAAAATTTTTGGAACATTTACATGTACGTGATTACATATCTTGGGGATAGGACCAAGTTTAAGGAACAAATTCACTTCTGTTTCATATATACCTATATACATAACCTGAAGGCAAGTTTTATGCTATTCTAAGTAATTCTGGGCACAGAACAAAGTCCTATGATATGGAATTTTCTTAGAACATTGCTTTGATTGTGGTGTAATGCTGCTACTCAAAAAGTTTCAGATTTTGGAATATTTTAGATTTGAATATTCCAATAAGAGATGCTCAAACTATAAAAACATATCCAAAAATTAATCAATGAAATCAATTCATTAATGAAAAACTTCACATACCCACTTCATCCCCCACCCCCAAACCACCACTACCACAAAAATGGCAGGTCTTATGTATAGTTCTGGGACAAATTATTCAAAAGTTGCCCCAAGAAATCATTTCTTTTCCTGCTTTGTAAATTTCTGGGTACACAAAGCACTGTTCAAACCTGAAATTCCTTTCCTTCTCTAGCCCTATATTATTTTCAATCCACAATTATGTTTCTAGTGTAAATAAAATGAGACCACAATTGCAAATAAATAGTTTTTATCCAATCCTTACTATAATTTCCTAATTATGTTATGTAGAAACAAAGTCTTCAGGAATCCCAGGTAGCTAGAACAAGAGCAATGATCTCTGATAAACAATATGACGAGTATTCAAAAGGTTCACAGAAAATACAAGAAAAAACTATGTGTGGATTTCAAAAGATATTTTCCACCAAAATAAGCTTATCTTTTGATTTTGTTTTTCTGTGAACTTTTTGCAGTACTCTTGAATCAGAAGGGTTGAAGTGTAGAGGACTGAAGAAAAACATCCTTTGAAGTTGAATTGGAATTGTAGGTATTTGTGTAAGCTCACAATTTTTTAAAAATAAAAATTATGGGGTTCCAAGATGGCAGACTATTGACAGGATGATCTGATTTAGGCTAAGTGAAATAAATATAAAGAAAGTGAAGAAAGTACACTCTCTGTGTAAAACTGCAGGGGAGACTGCAGTGGGAGGTCCTACGAAAGCAGGAGAAACGGCCTGGACCCATGTGGTAGTTGCAGACACGGAACGTGAGCAATGAAACAACAAAGACCTCAGTAGCTTGGATGGGGGAAAATGCGCCTGCCCTGGAAAACCAAGTGCGATCTGACTGCATGGTCCCACACCACTGTTGATTCAGCTGGAGGGAGGGCTTAGTGAATTGCACCAATTTTGAGTCTGGCTCAGATCCCTCATGGCAGCGGGGCTTTTGCTCATCCCATCTTTCCCCTACAATAGCCATCTGCAGCCAGCAGTGAAAGGGCTGGTACCATTTTTGAATATACACGGGCAGCACCGGGTCCAGCTTTTGTGTGCACACCCAGAAACCATTGTGGTCAACCTCCACCCAGTCAGCAGGGGCAACCACAGCAGTTCAAGAGCAACAGACAGAGATGGTGACCAGAACTCCAAATAAGGGGGAGCGATCCCTTTAGAAGGGAAAGCCACCTGTGGGACTCTCCTATATGCCCAGCACAATTGTCAAGAAAGCTGGGCTGCAGCTGGTGAATACTGAGCATGTCTGTGACCCAGAGATTTTACCAGAGAGAAAATCCTGCATTCCTTACAGACTTTGAATTTGGTTGGGAGGACTGGACTTGATCCAGTGGGCTGGAACACACATGGACAGCGGCTCTGGTTAACACCTTAATCTCCCTGTGGACAGGACAGGCCAATGGTGTGGAGGGGCCCCACTTCCACTCCTTGACCTTGAGAGCCCAGGGTGCTGAGACTGAAAAACACTGTGACAGCATGAGAGGAAGCAGAGTATAGCTGAGTTCTGAGCAATCACAGAGTGCTGGTGCACACTCTCACAGTTCCTTGGTTGACTAGAGCAGCTTATAACAGAGGGAACCATGCTCACAGGAAGGACTGTACATAGCATGTGTGTGGTTCATACAGCAGTGCAGATGACTGTTGAGCACACTGGGGGCTAACACTGGGCATTTTTCAGCTTGAAGGAGAAGGGGTGGTTGCAGCAACAGAGATGACCATTCCTCTCCATCCAGTTACCGAGGAGAGCTACCATACCAAAGTTGAGTATTATTCACCCCATTCTGGAGCACTGACCAGAGTTCCCTGGCCACACCCACCATACACCTCTTGGCATTTACTGAAAGTGTAGACATTCCACCAAGTCAGAAGCATAGTTCAAAGCTAAAAGCCATGAGAGTAAAAAAAAAATCTACAAATGCCTAGAAATAAATGCAGAAATGCAAGAAACAAGAATAAAGAAGACTACAACTCCCTCTAAAGGAACATAACATTTCAATATTAGAATGTGAGGATGAAGAGATTGAGGAAATTCTAGATGGAATTCAAAAAATTAATCATAGGATTACTCACAAGCAACCAGAAGCAAATCCATGCACTAAAGAAAATTATGTAAGATATGAATGAAAAATTTCCCATGAAATTGAGATTTTAAAGTGAAACCAAAATGAAATATTAGAAATGAAAGATTCAATAGATTCAATAAAAATGCAATGGAAAACCTTAACAGTAGCATTGGTGAGGCAGAAGTAAGAATATCCAAACTAGAAGAAAAATATCTGGAAATTTTGTACTCAGATAAAAAAAGAAATTAGAAAACTTAAAAATAGTGTTAGAGATCTGTGTGATACTATCAAACAATCCAACATAAAGTTCTTAGAAGTTCCTGAAGGTGTGAAAAGAGAGAAGGGACTAGAAGGCCTATTTAGTGAAATAATTACAGAAAACATCCTTAATTTATAGAAAGAAAAGCATGTCCAAGTATAGGAAGGACACAGAACTCCTAACCGACATGACCAGAAATGATTTTCTCTTTGACATATTGAAGTCAAACTTTCCACAGTAAAGCATAAAAAAGAGATTATAAATTGTGCATGAGAGAAATGCTGGATTACTTCCAAAGGGTCTCCAATTAGACTCACAGCTGACTTCTCATCAGAAATCCTGCAGGCTAGAAGACAATGGCAAGATATGGTCCAAATCTTAAAAGAAAAAAGCTGTCAATCCAGAATACTGTACCCTGCAAATCTCTCACTTATGAATGAAGGTGAATTAAAGACCTTCCATAACAAACAGAAATTGAAAGAATTTGTTACCACTCATCCAGCCTTACAAACTACACACACAAGCACAGAAAGAAAGCCATCATCATAAAATAATGCAAAGACAGAAAATCCCCTAGTAAAAGTATGAAAGAAAGCCAAATTAAATAACAGTAAAAATCACAGAAAAATGGCAGGACCAAGTAGTTACTTATCAGTACTTACCTTGAATGTAAACAGCCTCAACTCTCCAGTTAAAAGATACGGACTGGTTTAATGGATTAAAAAACAAGACCCATCTATTTCCTGCCACAGGAAACACATCTCATCAACAAAGTTACACATTGACTGAAAGTGGCCCAACTAACCAAAAAAAAAAAAAAAAAAAAAAAAAAAAAAAAGGGAGAAAACCCAACTAACCAGAAAAACAAGCAGGGAGAAGACCCAAATCAATAAAATCAGATATGAAAAAGGAAATGTAACAAGAGATACAATAAAAATAAAAAGAATCATCAGGAAGTTTTACAAAGAGCTGTATGTCAATGAATTAGGAAATCTAGAAGAAATGGATAGATTCCTGGACACATACAACCTATTTAAATTGAGTCAGGAAGACATAGACAACCTAAACAGACCAATAACCAAGAAGGAGACTGAATCAGTAATAAACTCTCTCAGCAAAAAGCCCAAGTCCTGATGGCTTCACTGATTAATTCTATCAAACATTTGAAGAACTAACTCCAATTCTTCTCAAGCTAGCTATTCCAAACAATTGAAAGGGAGGGACTCTTCCCACACTCCTTCTATGAATTCTGCAACACCTTAGTCCTAAGCCAGAAAAAGATACAACAGAAAAAGAGAACTAAGAACCAATTTTCCCAATGAACAGATGCAAAAATCCTCAACAAAATACTAGCCAATAGAATCCAACAACACATCAGAAAGGTCATTCACCCAGAACAAATGGGATTTATCCCTGGAATGCAGAGATGGTTTAACATCTGAAAAATCAATAAATGTGATATGTCACATTAACACACTGAAGACCAAAAGGCATATGCTTATCTCAATAGATGCAAAGAAAGCATTTGACAAAATTCAATAGCCTTTTATGATGAAAATCTTAAGCAAATCGAGTATAGAGGGAACATTCCTCAGCATTATCAAAGCAATTTATAATGGACCCACAGAAAGCACCTAGTGAATAGGGAAAAATTGGAGGCATTCCCATTAAGATCCAGAACCACACAAGATGCCTACTCTCACTGTTGCTTTTAAAAGTAGTCCTAGAAGTTTCAGCCAGAGCCATCAGGCAAGACAAATAAATCAATGGGATATGAATAGGGAAAGAATAAGTCAAACTATCTCTATTTGATGATGACATGATTCTATAGGGAATCCAGAAGACTCTATGAAGAGACTTTTGGGCCTCATAAAAGAGTAAAATAGCCATGTCACTAGTCCCAGTGATCAATTTCTGTTCACAATTGATCATAATGATAGGACTAAGAACCAAAGGGATCACAGAAAAAAGAATAGTGTCTGCAAATGCTAGCTGATAGAATAAAAAAGGGAGAGAATGATCCAACATGGGAAGTGAGATACACAGCAGACCCATAGAATGGCAGATGTCCTAAACAGCACTCTGGCCTCAGAATCAGCCCTTAAGGCATGCGGATCTGGCTGAAAAGCC